TGGAAGCAATATGGAGTGTGTCTTTTAGTACCACAGATATTACCTAATTGCGAAAACGAGATACAATTAAATTAATTTAATTCCTTAGGTTTGATCTTTTGTATGGTGATTAAATAATTTAGCATCAACAATTTTCAGTAATTCTTGAATTAAATTAAGGCTTGGCCAAACAAGAATATTAAGCCAATTTTCGCCTAAAAATATCAGATTTAGTTATAGCGATATGAATTAAAGCCACAAAAAATTAAAAAAAAACAAGACAAAACAGAATGAAGATTAAGTTGAATTTCAAGCCAGCTCTTTTAATGAAGCAATACTTACTTAATACCATATGCTTTTGATCTCAGTGTAACACTAGTAATCTTTAAATAATATTAAAGTGAGGTCTTAGTAACATCTGCTCTCACGGGCTCAATTTTGAACCCTTTGATGCAAAATTATTGAATAAAGCAATGTATTATTCAAAGAACGTCGCAAAAACCATTGCGACTCCAAATACCGATGGGTTAGAATAAGTTACAGATGCGTAATTATCGCCTGACTCTGGAAACCAAACCGCCCGACTGACGATTGAGATGCTAGAGTCCTTTCGAGACCCTAAATGTACCATCACAACGTATTTATAGCGCACGGGATTGCAAACTTCACGCACTCTCTTGCGAATAACATTGGCCAGATTCTTGCCAATAGTCTGAAGCAAGGATGGTTCATATGTTGTATCAAAGAGAGCACCCCGTAAAACCTCACTCATAAGATCTTCCACCTATAATGTAGAAAAATAAAAAAGGTAGCAGTAACTGAGCTTTTGTAATGAATCAGGTAAACATATAAAATATTTCTTTACAACTTGATACTTCCTTCAGCAAAGGGAAGGCGGACTCAGATTCTTTGTTTGGTAAGGACTAAATCTATTACAAGTGGGTGTTTTGGGATAGCGTTTTAAAAATATGCTGCTCACTTGCATCATCATCGTTTCACCTGAATCGATACATTTTGTATGAATTTGGGTTTCTTTGCATTACTAGTTTGTGAGGATTAGTTCATGATAAAATTTTTCCTGGTATGGTTTATGAAAAAGAGCCTCTTTAGGAAGAATAATTCATTCAACAAAGAATCATAAGTGCATAGTTTTTCTGCTTACTATAAAATCAAGGAAATTCGCATATAGTATGTCATGACTGTTTTACTCATCTCCTAGTAGAAACCCAATAAAAAAGTGCGATCAGCACAACTTCATGTACATAAAACCGAAGTCAATTTACGTATTTAGTTCGGCTATGCTTCCGATAGTATTTAAACAAAGTTTTCAGATATTATTTCAGATAGAAACCTCATGAGATTAATTAGATAGACAAAAATTATTAAAATAATAAAAAAATGCAAAACTGTGACTAAAAATGAGGTCAGTATACCTTGTTGAACTTAAACGCTCCAAACTATCCTGTACCCTTACACACGAATTCACAGATACAAACAGACGCACACGCGTGTGCATACTTACATACATATATGGAAATGAAATCCAACTGAACAAGTGATAAACTCCTTCGCCAGATTCATTTGTGCAAATCAGGGGTAGTTTAGGAGTGAATAGCAGCTCTGAAAATGTCCTTCAAGATAAAATATAGATGAAGCTCAACACGTCTTCAGCAAAAGCAAGAGCGTAAGTGAGTGTGGCAGGCAAAGCATCCATGCGAAAGTAAACTGCAGACCAAAGGTAGGAGTAACCTCGTCTCACATCATAGCATTAAATGAAAGTCAACGCATGAGTGATGTTATCCTTCAATTATAAGAGGAGCTCTAAATTAAACGAATGAAGCGCGAAGGTATTCCTAATTTCAACAGTATTTTTCTTTCATATTCATAAAACAATTTTTTAAGCAGTAGTCCGAATCATGAGAATTGCATCTTATGGTGTGGCAACATGTGCAATGATGACTCCATTTAACATTAAAATAAGTGGCCTATTTATAACTTTAGATGAGCCTTCTGATTCATGATTTGACTTCCTTTTTAATTGGAACTATAATATCATCGAGTTTCTTTGTGTCTTGGCTTTTATATTGGTAAAAAA